CCTGACGCCACACTTCTCCTCATAGAGCCCAGCCTCCCGGATAATCTGTTCTGCATACAGGTTGAAAAGGTATGGAGACAGGACACATCCCTGGCTTACACCCTTTTATCTCTCCACATCCTCTCTAACATTTTTTGCTTGCTGGCCTGTTAAACTTTGCCACTGCTACTGGGGTACATGAATGAAACACAATAGAAGAAAAGGGGATGCAGCATTTGTCCATGGATAAAGCTCAGGAGGCAGGCAGGGAGAACAGGGAGGAAGAATGAACATGGTAAACAAGGAGGGAGGGAGGGGTAGAGAGTGTTTAGGCCGCATTGTGGGGATTTCAGTCAGTGTGACAAATCAAAATGTCCTTATATCATTCAATGGGAAATCATAAATGATAATAAAAGTTTAAAGACAATAAATAAGAAGAAATATTCCTGAGGAGGGGTTGATCCTCCTTTTCAAAGATGTCCCTGCCTCACACCGCACACTTGGGACCTTCATTTTCCAGGACTCTTATTTCCCAGGCTTCTGAGACAGATGAAGCTTAAAAAATGAAGTCGGTTCAGGATACAGAATATAATATGGTTCATAATTCATACAGTCCACACAGTTCAGGTTACGGAATGTGATAAGTAGGAGGCTGAAGACTGACAGATGGGACAATTTGGACCCATGGGCAGTGGAGAGCTGAGAGGGTCTGCTTCCACAGAGCACAGCCAGGGAGACTCTGACTGGCAGCTGTACCTCTGTAGGAGGACTGTGGCTGGTCAGAATGGCCCCAGTACCGATGCACTGGGGTTTTCTTTTGAGGTTTTTTTGTTTGTTTTTGGTTTGATTTTGTGTGTGTGTGTGTTGTTGCTGTTATTCATCAATTTACATTTGGTTTGTGATACAATCATGTTCAATGTATATAGTTTTTTGCAGGTTTGTTGTTGTTGTTGTTTAATGCCGTCGAGTCGTAGACGACTCATAGCCTGAGCACTGTTCGTACATAGAGTTTCCGGAGGCAAGCCATTTCGGAAGTGGATGCCACTCCTGCTTCCAGGCTTGATTTAGTCAGGAAGCTCCAGCCAACACTGTCCACCATGGGTGCCCATTACCACTATTGGCACATCACTGTCACAGGCTTCAGCACCACAGCAACCACAAGTTACCTCTGTACAGCAACGCACAGACCAGTGCTAGTAGACTTTGTAAATATTCAAATGGGGAAACAATTCTTCTGTGATGAATATAAGATGCTATTGTGAGCTAGTTGATAGAGAGTTGTAATGTCAGCCCCAAGATGGGTAGGTCAAATGCATCAGCTGCTTCATGGGAGAAAGATGGGAAATTCCTTCACATGTCATTTACAGCCTTTGAAAACTCACTGCAGGGTCAGCTGTAAGTCAGTTCTCACTCATAGGCAATGAGATTTTTAAGTGATAAATGTATGTTTGAGTGTGTATATTGCCATGCCAAATAATAATAATAATATCAACAAAAATAATAATAAAATAAACAAATGTCTCCTTATTAAAAAGTCAAAAAACTAATGTCAATGAATTCATGACAACTTCTATGTGGTTTCCAAGGCTATAAATATTTATAAAGAACACTTTAATTTTTCTGAAGAGCAGCTAGTGTGTTTGAACTACTGACCTTTCCATCGGCCACCTGCTATGGTATGCGCACCAGGGCTCTTGGGTGGTCACTAAGTTTAGACAGAACCAAACATAGCTTTCTTTCCTGCTGGCTTCCCATGTGTTACTGAGATTCCAGTGCTTTCCACCCCCAGCTTCACTCCGACATGGACCGAGGAGACGGGTCCATCAAATACATCCTGTCTGGAGAAGGCGCGGGTACTGTATTTACCATCGATGACACCACAGGGGACATCCACGCCATCCAGAGGCTCGACCGCGAGGAGAGGGCCCAGTACACGCTCCGAGCTCAAGCCCTCGACAGGCGGACGGGCCGGCCCATGGAGCCCGAGTCGGAATTCATCATCAAAATCCAAGACATCAATGACAATGAACCCAAGTTCCTCGACGGTCCTTACGTCGCCTCTGTGCCAGAAATGTCACCAGTGGGTAAGAGGGTGAACTACTGGGGTTGGCCAACAATCCCACCTGGTCTACAGAGGGCCCCCTACAAACATAGACATAGAGGTAGAGATAAAGCTTTGTGCAGAGGGAGACAGCAGAACAGCTTTCAGAGCTCGCCCAGAGAGGACCCCCAAGTCCCATGTCACACAGGAAGCTGCTGATACTTGAATCACCATAATGAAAGATGAGTCTGCTATTTTTAATAATATTTTATCTGATTAGTGTGGTTATTGCTCCTGGTGGCGTAGTGTGTTGCGTGTTGGGCTGCTAACCTAACGGCCATTTGTTGAAATCCACCAGCTACAGGGAAGAGAATGAAGAGCAGTGTCCTCCTGTAGAGATTGTTGTTCTTGTTGATGATGATTGCCTTCAAGTTGAGCACAACTCATAGAGACCCTATGAACAAAAAGCCTGAAACCCTTCTACAACTATCAGCATTTATCAAAGTTATAGAGTTTCTGGAGGCTTGTTGTTTAGGAAGCGGATGCCACTCCTGCCTTAGAACATGATGAGAGTCACCGTCACTCAGAATCAACCTGAAGGCAGTGGGGTGGGTTTTTTATGGGATGGGGTAGAGGGGAAGACATTCTTATTCAATTCTTCCCATATTTAGAAAGTAGAACAAAGATATAAATATAAATAGAAAATATGTGGATGATAGAGATAATAATATGTAGATGATAGGTAATACATGAATGACAGACGGGGAGAGGTAATACAGAGATGCTAGGTGGATACTCGGAAAAATTCACTGCTGCCGGTCAGAGCGGACCCACCGCTGACCCTACAGCCGGTTTGCAGAGGCTGTAAATCGCACGGGAGGAGATTGCTCATCTCTCTCCCTTAAAGCAGCTGGTGGATTCAAACCACTTGCCTTATATTGGCAGCAAAACTCATTAGGACAGACATAGACACAGATAATACATAGATGACAGATGGACAGATGGTTGGTAAAGCATAGATGATAGATGGGTCAATAAATAGATGATACACAGATGACAGATAATACACAGATGATGGGTATATAATACCATAGATGGTAGATAATGCATGGATTATGGATGGGCAGATGGATGGATGGATGGATGGATGGATGGATGGATGGATGGATGGATGGATGGTTGGATGGATGGATAAATAGATAAGTAGACAGTATTTGGTTTATAATAGAGCAGCATTTTTATATTATGGGGGGAAAAAGATGAGCTCCAAAGTGTTGTCCTCACTGGTTACTAAGAACTGAAAATATGCAAAGATTCACCCCAGCTATCGGGCAGAGCACGAGAGTTGAGAAGCCTGACTGGGGAAGCAGCGTACCTGGCCGCACTCTTGCAAATTCTCTCAGGCTGAGCCCGGGGACAGCATCCAGCCTGGATGACCTCAGGCGGCTCCCCTCTCTCTCCCGCAGGCACCTCTGTTATCCAGGTGACAGCCACTGATGCAGACGATCCAACCTACGGCAACAGCGCCCGGGTGGTGTACAGCATCCTGCAGGGCCAGCCATACTTCTCTGTGGACTCCAAGACAGGTAGGGGGCACAGCTGTGTCTGGTGGGGAGATCAAAGAGCCACCTCCACAAGTGTCCCCCACTCACCTCCCCATTTTCTGCAGTGATGTTTGTTTTCCCGAGAATACCCTTTGGAATCCTGAGAGGACCTGGATCCACATTTTAACGTGGACACACTCCAGAGCCCGAATCCCTGGTTCTCTAATGAGAAAGAGCCTTGGGGGAAACGTCCAGTCTGTTCCCATTTATTGCACAAATAAGGAAGTGAAGACATTGAAACCTAACCGTGTCCATCTGATTGTCACACTGTCACCTGATGTGCGGGCAGACGCGCTGTCCATTGGGCCACCCTGTGCTAAGTGGGATGAATGATGGCAGGCAGACAGGTTCTGATGAGGGAGCTCAGGACAGAGCTGAGCATGCATGGCCCCCAAGGGGGTGTCTTAAGCAGAGGGGACAGCAGAGAGCTGGGTGAGTCCTCCTGAACAGGCTCAATGTGACAAGGACGGACAACCAAGAGAGCTGCTTTCCTATTGGCCGAGGCACTTGGATGAAAGACTGTGAATGTTTTTCTAGAACCCTCTGGATGGTCTAAACCCACTGTGTTATCGTGCCTCTGTGCTAACCCTAAGGCCAGTGGTTTGAGTCCACCCAAAAGCACTTTGGAAGAAAGACCTTGTGACCTACTGAAAACTCAATTGGAAGACATTATGCTGAATGAAATAGCCAAGTCACAAAAGGAGAAATACTGCATAAGACCACTGTTATAAAACAAGACTGACGTGGGGTGGGGGCAGAACAGTGAAGCATGATTATGAGCTCTGCACTGGAAGGAATGTATGATTAGATATTCTCTGGGTGACAACAGTCAGGAAGGAAAAGTGCATTAAAAGTGAATTGGGAGAAAGGGGGAGGGAGGAAAATGCACATCAGTGCAGAAATTGAAACCCAGCCTTTCTGTAAATTTCATGGGGTTGCCAGGAGTCACAATGACTTGTGCCAACTGGGTTTTATGTTGTAGCCATGAAAGAGGCCTCTTAGCAGCCGTGAGTTAGACAGTGTAATTACTTGTGCTCTTCAATGCTACATTTCTTTGTTTATTATTTAAGGAGCCCTGGTGGCATGGTGGTTAAACACTCGACTGCAGACTGCAAGGCCAGTGGTTCAAACTCAGCAGCCCCTCCATGGGAGGCAGATGTGGCAGCTGCTCCCATGACAATTCCAGCAGGGAAAACCTGTGGGATAGTTCCATTGTGTCTTTTAGGGTCACTGGAAGATGGAATCGACTCCCAACCACAGTGGGTTTTGGTACCGTGTACTTGTGGGTTTTCAACCTTCCAAGTCCTTTTATAAACTTTACAGTGTGTGACCCTCCCGTTGCTCATGGGAACGTGTGACAGTCACAGCAAGTTTTACTACTGCCATGCCCTATACTGGAGAGTCTAGGGTGAAGGAGCAACTTCTAAGGAACTTGAGAAAAGGAGCCTGCCAGCCCCTGCCCCCAGAGGCAAGGGCCACCGTGGTGACCTCAGAAAACCAGTTATTTCTTTGTTAGAAAAAAAGAAAATATAGCTTTTTCTTTTTCGTGACCTGGTGGCAATTTTTATTATTTTCCAGAAGTCCTAAGGGAACCCAAGCCTTCAGAAAATGATGTCATAAAAGTAGAAAGTGAGGGAGTGTAAAATAGGAGGAGGGAAGGCGAAGGATCACACTGAGGGCTTTCTAGAAAATTCTTTCTCAATTCTACAATAGGGAGGGGTTTGGGGTGCCCACAGGGAAGCAGAGATGAGTGGGAAGAGGATTCCGAGTCCTTCAGATCCAGGCAAGAAGCTTACATGATGTTGACAGCTCCCGGGGCAGCTATAGAGTGAAGGTCAAAAATACATGAAAGGCAAGTTACTGCCGTGCCTGTGGGCCACTTAGGAAACAGCAGATGCTGCAGATCTGAGATTTCGCTCGAGCGAGCTCAGTGCTGTTTCACTGCATTGGCAGATGAGGTGGTGTCCCCAGTCCTCTGTCCACCCCACGGTCAGTTCGCCAAACCACTGCATCCACTGGGTGAGGGAGTGTCCCCGTCCTTTGTCCGCCCCCTGGTCAGTTCCCCACTGATCACTGGTAAATGTGATGAAAATGAGGCTTTAACCCCCACCTAGCATTATGGGCAATGACTTTTCTTAGTCAAGTATTGAAAGGGGAGTATCCCTCCTCATACCCCTTCTGCTGGATAAAACAATACCTGTGAGTGGATTTTTTTCAATTCGATTCCTCTTGTTAAAGAAGGCGTCCTGGTGGTGTTGACATATTTAACCTGTGGTCCAGCTGACAGAAAGGTCAGAGGTTTGAAGCCACCGGCCGCTCGGTGGGAGAGAAGAGCCATCGTTGCCCATAGATTCACAGCCTTGGAAGCCCAATGGAGAGTCACTGGGAGTCAAATCGGCTCACGGACACTGTGTTTGAGCTCTTAAGTGAAAAGTGGTGGAGTGGTTAAAGCAGTTGGTGGCTAAAAGATTGACAGTTCGAATCCACGAGTCAGTGGTTCCTGGAGAGCAGACCACTTCCATCAAGAAGCATGAAAAGGCAGTTCTTCTGGGCCTGCAATGTTGTCAGGAGTCAGAACTGACTCCGCCAAAGCGAGCTTGGTGGGGAGGGGGTGGGTTTTCTTTCTTTTTCTTTTCTCCCCCCGACTCCTTTGAACGGAACCGTGTCTGTCTCCACATTGAATTGCTACTGCTTCCCATCTGGGGAAATTTACCCTTATGCTGTTAAGAAATCAACAAGAGACCAGGCTGCTTTCATGACGTAGCTCACAGGATGCCAGGGACGCACAGGGGCGCACAGAGGTGAGCTGGGGCATGGAACAAGAAAACAGCAAAAGGAGCATCGGATATGCATCAAAAGAAGCATCAGATACTCTGTACTGCAGACAGCAAAAGAAAGAGAAATGAGCTTTCTAAAGAACATGCATAACACTATACGGTCTCTAGGGCTAGAGAATGAGTGCACAGAAGGAGGATTAGCTAGAATCCTGGCTGTGTGCACACAGAGGTTTTGTTTGGGGGACCCTGGGCCTGGCAGCCTGCAGGCCAGAGCTGGGTGGACTCCCTTTTAAGAGCCGCTGCTGCCACCTGCTGTTCTTCTTCGGTACTGCTGCTGGAAGAGCTCTGGCCTCGCTTCCTGCAGGGACTGTGCTTAACCCAGTATCTTTGCAATAGGCACTCGGGCCTCTTGTTTAACAGAACGCAGAGGAGCTTGCAGGGCTTGTATCTCAGCTCTGCACATTAACAGTGCACGAGGAGAAAGCTAGAAACTAGTAGTTTTAAAAAGGGATGCTGGGTTGCTGTTTTGCAAAACTACAGTGGTTTCTGTCCCCCAGGTGTGATCCGGACGGCACTCATGAACATGGACAGGGAGGCCAAGGAGTACTACGAAGTGATTATCCAAGCCAAGGACATGGGCGGGCAGCTGGGAGGACTGGCTGGGACCACGACGGTCAACATCACCCTCTCCGACGTCAATGACAACCCACCACGCTTCCCTCAGAGTGAGTACCCAGCCAGCGGGCCCTCTGACCTCAGCCAGAGAGGAACAGACCTCAGCCAGAGGGACAGACCTCAGCCAGCGGGCCTCCAACCTCAGCTAGAGAGGGACAGACTGCAGCCAGAGGGACAGAGCTCAGCCAGATGGGCTCTCTGGAGACTACTGCAGAAGTCTTCCTCTCGAAGCCCAGTTGCACAGCGATGCCCTCTTGCCTTGATCATACAGTCCCATACAACCACTGCCCTTCTGTGGACTTCCCATTTTGCCCTAGTGTGTCTCATCCCTTTGTTTCATTGCCACCACCCTTTGTAGCCCTAGGTAGTGCCAGTAACACACTGACCTGCTAACCAAAAGGTTAGAAGTTCAAGTCCACCCAGGAGTGCCTCAAAAGAAAGGCCATGTGATCTGCTTCCAAAAGATCAAAGTGATTGCAAACTTCATGGGACACAGTTCTTCTCTGTCACTTTGGGGTCAGGATCAACTTGATGGCGATCACAAGGGAGGCATTTAAATAGCTTTTCCCCCCCATTCATTCATATTCATATTCTCTCTCTCTCTCTCTCACACACACACACACACACACATCTCTGTGTTTCTCTCTTACTTACATTCATAAAATTAAACACTAATGAGTAAGATTTTGTTGGAGAGGTTAAACTTTAGTGACACACATCAGTGTAGTAGCTGAGATTGTTTGATTCCTCTCCAAGAAAACCAATCTCTGCTTCCCAGCGGGCTGGTATCACCACCTGTTGATAATGCAAGCGCTACCACAAAACCAGAGCTGACCCATCTGGCCGTCTTCATCTGTCAGCTCACAGCTGTGCGCTTGGAACAGCTATGGGAGGGCCCCGTTGTGCAGGGAGGAGCGTGTGAAGATGCTCGAGGCCCAGCCCCAGCCTCGCAGCTCCCCAGCCACCTGGCCCCGCATACCTCCTAGACCAGTGCAAAAGAAGGTGACCAGTACCCGCAGATGGGGAGCCAGGTGGGGGTGCAGAATGAGGCCTTCAGTGAATGAGGTGAATACGGAATTCAGGGACAGATGCATGAGACCTCAGGAGGGCACTGAACACTAGATAGGATTTAAGTCAGCAAGAAGAGAATATTCCAGGAGAGGGAGCTGTTAGTGCACTTGGAAAATAATAAATAAATAGATGTTTTCCATGCTGGGTGTGGAGCCTTGGGCAGTGTACGCAGCACATACAGTCCTGCTCTCCTCGGGCTCAACCTGCAGAAACCATGTGTCAGGAAAATACACGCGGAAACACCAGCGTGCACAGTGTATGGGTTCCAGGTACAGAAGAGGAACCTGCTTCAAACAAAGGCGCAGGGAATTCTGCAGAAATAAAGTTGTACATCTAGTTTTATATTCCAAGACACCGACAATCCAGACCTGCTTCTTGGCACGTGTCATCATTCTAATGGTAGTCGCTAAAACGTTTCGGGCAGGAGAGACATAAAGAGAGGCTGACGTGATTGCTATCTATGTAACAGCAACACGTACAGGATGAGCTGACGGCAGTGGAGACCGTTGTGGTTACAGGCTGGCAAGTTGACTACGACTCATGGTGACCCTTGTCCAGCACCATCCTCACTCTCTGCCATGTTCAAGTCCACTGTAGGAGCCACCTTGTTGAAGGTCTTCCTCTCTTTCACTGACCTTTCCCAGCATGACGTCTTTTCCCAAGGACTGACCCTCCTGAGAGCATGCCCGGAGTAAGTGAGAGGAGTTTCCACATCCTTGCCTCTGAAGAGCTCCCTGGTTGTACTTCCTGCAAGACAGATGTGCTTGTTCTTTCGGAAGTCTATGGAGTAGTCAATACTTTAACACACACACCACAATTCAGAGGCGCCAGTTTTCCTTCAGTCTTTCACCTTCCTTCTCCCACTTTAACTTGCAGTGACAAATACCATGGTTTGGACTGTTGTTAGGTGCCCTCAAGCCAACCCTATGACTGTTGTTGTTATGTGCCATTGAGTCATCTGTGACTCATAGCTACCCTATGTAGCTCTAAACCCAGCTTTAAACTTGGATAGCCTCTTCGAGGGAGTATAACTGACTCCCACACACCTAATCCCATTGTCCCAGTTGCCATGTCAATCCATCTCATCCAGGCTCTTCCTCTCCTGTGCTGCCCCTCCACCCTTCAAAGCATAATGGCCTTCTCCAAGGACTGGTCCCTCCTGGCCATTTGCCAAAGTATGTGAAAAAGGGAGCTTCAGAATCCTTGCTTCCAAGGATAAACATGGTTTCATCCTCTCCAAGACAGACCTATTGTTCTCCTGGCAGTCCATGGTATGTTCAGTACTCTTCTCCAGCACCACAACTCATAGGAATCTATTATTATTCTTCTGTTATTCCTAGTCATTGTCCAACTCATGACGCATAGCAAGTACTTGTGAAGACCATGGCCTGGATTAGACACCCCTTAGTCTCTAGACTGATATTATTGTTCTTTAAGCACTTTGGAGAGGTCCCTGACAGTAGACTTCCCCAATGCAATTCGTCTTTTTGTATCCTGACTGCTGTTGCCAAGAGTGTTGATTGTGGAGCTGAGCAAGCTGTAATTGTTAATAACCTCAATCTCTTCTCCATCCATCATGGTGCTGCCAATTGGCCCAGTGGTGAGAATCTTTGTCTTCTTGGTTGAGCTTCAATCCATATTGAAGACTACAGTCCTTAACCTTGTACAGCAAAAGCTTCAGGTTCTCCTCAGTTTCAACAAGCAAGGTTGTGTCATCTACATAACACAGGAGAGAGTGAAACCAGATTGCTCTTTGGAGGCAAGGATTTTGAATCTCCCTCTCAAATATTTCAAATATGTGGCCAGGAGGGACTAGTCCTTGGAGAAAGATGTCATGTCTGGGAGGGTGGAGGGACAGTGCAGGAAGGGAAGACCTTAGATGAGATGGACTGACACAATAACTGGAGTAATCGGGGTTGGGTTAGTGTGTCAGAGACAGTGAGATTGGCTCAGGATAGAGCAGGGTTCAGAGCTATTGTACGTGGGGTTGCTGTGAGCTGCAGGCAACTTGACAGCGTATAACAACAACAATAACAACAACTGTTGAATTAGAACTGGCTCCTAGATGACATTGCAGCAATCAGAGGCTGCAAATCACCTACAAGGACTCTGATGAGTCTTCCTCCAATCTTGATGTCATACTTCTCCTCATAGAGTCCATCCTTCCAAATGATCTGCTTAAACACAGGGAGATCAGGAAGGAGGCCTGAAGAGTAGAAATAATTCAGTCAATAAGGACTTGAGTGGTAAGGAAAAGACCAAAGGATGGAGCCCTTCTTGATTTCCAACCTAAGGGAAGCAAGGGAGAGAGTGGAGTCAAAGATGACAATGACGTGTTAAGCACAGGCGGCAGAAGGATTGTACCACTGACAGCTGCAGAGGCTGCAAAATGGAATGAGGAGCAGGGAAGGAGGAAGATAAATTCTGATTTGAATATGAAGTGACAGCAGGACGATCGGGTTGAATGTCCTTAAGGAAGGTGGAAACACAGAGCCCTGAATCAGAATGTGACATCAAGTCAGACACAGACACTGAAGGGAACGTTGAGGAAGTGAGAACAAAGACAGCTCCGAGGTGAATGACTGAACCAGGGGCAAGTGAAACTCTGCGTGTGCCCACAACAGACAGGCACGCTCTGCAGATAACCACGTTGAGTCAGCCAAACCACGTGCCTCTGGTGGCCTCAATACAGGAGTATGGCCTGGCTGACCACACTGTGTGACAGTGTCAGAGAGGATGATGCCAAAAATGACCACCTAAAGTGTTGGTGTGTTCTTTCATCCAAAATTCATTAAAATTTCTAAAGCATACCAGTATAATAAACTACTGTAACTTATATAAATGTTTGTTTTTGTAAATGCACCTTACATATATATCTATA